CCCACTCGTGACCAGTCCTGGATCTGATAATTCTGTGTGCTTTTCAGAACCCACTCGTGACCAGACAAATTCCCCTCTGGATCTGTTCATTTATTGTGTTCAAGCACTTCAATAAACATTTGAACTTTTCTCCTGCCTCTGAGTGTTCCAGATTACCATCCTGCCTTCAAAGATTATTTCTCTGTGGGAGCCCCTCAGACCCCCACATACAGGCGGTGCGCTGTCACTGGGAATCCCCAGCAGCAGCTGCCTCAGGCCTGATCACCTCTTTGTGGTTTTCCACTACCGTTCACAGCGGCTGGAAGGTGTTTTTCACGTATGTAATCCAGACTGCAGGCACTAGGATAATAAAATCAAACACATCTTGGCAGCAGGTTTTGACATTTTAAGTTAATTTAGGTCTTAATAAACTGTTTCAGAGGAGTGATCATAGCGCTCTGCATCAACAGTGCTGTGTCTGACTCCCTGCCAGCTCCCAGATCAGCTTCTGTGATCGGTTGATGCAGTGGGTCCAGCAGCTACAGTAAATTTTTCCATCTCCAGCAGCTGCTGCTTCTGAAGCGCATCATGAGGCGCTGCTCCTGCTGCTCAAAACATGTAGCAGGACCTTTTGCTGTGCCTAGAAGCACGTCAACCACAGGCGTAACTTTCTGAAGGACTGGTGTGGACATGTCCCCAACAATAATTTCAATACTTTGGCTCTCAACAATGCGTGGGACAATTTTCTAAATTTGATTTTGCCACTTTTGAAGGAGAATAATCACTGATGTAGCTGAAAGGGAAAACATCCATCGATCAATCCACATTTTTCTGTATGGATGGATGAATGAAACTAAAATTGTCTACATACTAGTGAGGCATGATATATCGCTGTTAGCATCGGAATCGGCTGTTATTCATCCTTTTTGATATACATTAATGTCTAACTACCCATAAATATAAATATCAGTATATTTTTGTTCTTTTGTTTTTCTCAAAAATAGGAAAGCATTCGATAAATATATGTTTGAGCTCTTTTTTTTAAAATACAAACCCTATTGAAAGCGTTTGTGTCGAGTAACTGTAAGTCCATCAGCCTCCACCCTTAAAGTGTCCCCACTAACTCTCACCACAAAGTCACACCCTTGGCGTCAACCATTGACTTTGCATGTAAACCAGTTGCTTCTGCCGATTGCCGTCTGAATGTAGAATAAGAAAACGACCCACAAGCATTGCCGGCGCCATTTTTGTTGTTTTGTACACATTCTCGCGTGATTTGAAAAAGTCGGGTGATTTTCTGCCAGATGGCGTAATTTTTGTCCACCTAGCGTTTAATTTTGATGTAGTTACCAAAACAACAAACAAGCTAGAAAGCGCTATCATATCGCAGTTTTCTGTACAGTGATGCAGGTCATACATTAAAAGGTGTTCATTAAATTTTTTTCTCTTAGACATTGGAGAGGTGCATTTAAATGTTATAGAGCTAAACATGTTAGATTGGTGACCTGTTATGTTATTACTATTGTCTTGTTGCTGCAATTATTTTGTCAGGGAAAACTAATCCTGAGTCAGTTAAAAGTCAGGGAATTCTGAAATGATGTCAGATTGTGGAAACCCTGAATAAAATAACTATGTATAATGATTCTCTAGAAAAGTCACATTATATTAATAGTATTATCTTGTATAAACATACCGTGACTCTAAAATAAAAGTTATTCATTTCTAACATTGACTTCTATCTTGTGATTTATCTTAAGTTTTTAACCTGTCAAGTTTTTTTTTAGATTTTTAACATTACAATTGATATTTTTCCAAGCACAGTTTAACAGTTTAAAGCAAAGTTTAGTTTGAAAAGAACATGCAGGAAGGTTTGAAAAGCATGTTAACACGGTAATGTAGGCTTGAGTTCATTATCTGACGCATGCATAGACACACCAGGAACCTGGAAACTTAAAAAATACTGAATTAGAAAAAATATTTAAAAAACAAACATGTTTCATTGATNAAATTACTTATCTGGATTTAGATTTTTTTTGTCAGACTGCTTAGCCAGATAGTCCAGAAACACGTTTGCACCAGAGGTGCCAAATAACAAAGCAAAAATACTTCCTTACCTTATTGAGTAGAAATGTTGGCTATCTATTCTTTACTTGAGTAATTTTTTGTAGACAAAGTTTCACTTCTTTTCCTTACAATTTTTAGCAGTTATCTCTACTTTCTAATCCTTACAAAAATAGATTTGTTTGTTTTGTTTCATTTAAACGAATTTTCATAATGGTGGTATTTAAAAAGAAAAACATCAAAATAATTTCTTTCATCCAGACAATAAAATTTTGGTTGGACTGTTGTTCACCACATACTAAAATAAATACTTTTTCAAAATGATGCAAAGTGGTCGATAAAAAAACAAACTTTGTATTTTATCAGACTAAAACAAAGTGCAACTATTTCATATGATGTAAAATATGAAAGATGTTTGCAACATAAGCCTTCGCTTTTCTGCTTTCTCGTTTTAACGTCTTTATTATGTACGACATCTTACAGTAGAGAAAGAAATAAAACCCATTTTAGGACAAGGTTTTAACTGGAGCATGATGTTTTCAAGACACCCAGCTGCTATTAAAATGGAAACTGTAGCACATTCAACCAAACTTACCAGCAAGGGGACATTGCCCAGGTGGCGTGTGCTGCCTGACAAAGGACAGAAACTCGTATTCGGCCTGTTCCAGGGTAATGTTGCTGTTTTTGACAGCCTGAATCAGTCCTGACTGTTACAA